AGGCTGACAATGTGATGGAGACTAGAATAAAACTATTCTCCAGTGCCAAAAAGCATGGGGACTCCACAAGGGATCCAGAGAGGATGCGTTTTGTAAAGATAACATGTTTTTTAAGGCAAATTTTCTTTTTAACAGAAACCTGTTATCAGTCATTAAAAAATAATAATATGATTGCACACTGTATTAAAGAAGCATGCCAGAGTAAAAGCTATCACAATGTTCTGTGATATTCCTTATCAAGTAAAGCTCAGAGTTACTGAACTTCATGGAGCAAGAGTAAGACAGAGTTCTCTCCTTTTGTGAGTGTGTACTTTGAATAGAAATGAATGTAATCAGGTTAGCCTCTTCCACCCACCTCTCCGTATCAGTTTCCTTAAATTGGATAGTATCATATTTGTAGATTTTTTTTTAATCTGCTTACATTTTTTCAGTACAACAACAAAAGTCCCTAAGTTTCCTGGGAGAGAAAGGGACTATATCTGTTTTCAAAGCCCAGATATGCCTGTGTAATATCATTTTCTAGAGTTCACTTTGATGAACACATTAATTTCCTCTTAGAAAAGCAAACAAACAGGAAAAAGAACAGGAAAATCCTCCCATCCTGTGGCTGGGAAGTGATGATGGTGAATTTTGTCTTTGTTCATCTGATCCTCTGTCCTTAAGGCTATTTAAGTGACAGTTCTTTTCCGGGGAGAGCTGTTTCTTCTGCGTGCTAAGTGTCACATCGCTTTTAAGGCCAAGCAGCTCCTGCTTTCAGAAGAGCTCTATCGTCTGTCAGTTACTATCCTCCTCTTTTTAATCATTGTTAATGTTGAGGTTTAGTAAATGGATTAGTGTAACAGTTTATGCTCTGGAGATTGCACTTTCTTCTTAATGTTTCCCTTTCATCCACTCGTCTCTTGAGAACTTTCCCTGCATGATGCTGTTCCAAGGGAGTCCATACAGTTACTGCAGACCAGCTTTCTTAGAGCAGAAGGTTTTTTTACAGTCCCTGGCCTTTGCACCTTATGCAAAGGTAGTCAATACCAGACTACAGAGCTGACATTATGTAATGTGATGGAAAGTGAAGACCCTTCCCATGAAAATATTCCACGCTAGACTTGAAGTTAAGCAGCTGGTTCTCACTGAAACACTTGTTACTCTGGAGGGCTGGCAGACCTGAGCCCAAGAGCTTCGCTGTAGCAGGTGGGAGAGACGATGAGAGACTGCAACACCCAAGGAAGCCATTCTCCTGCATATGGATTCTTAGTATGTTGGTATGTCATACTAATATTCGGTAGCAAAGAAAGTGCAGAAAGATGCCAGTAGAAAGGAAGCCAAAGGAGAGGAAATCCCAGCTGCTAAGACACACTGCTTTCAGTAAAATTGTTATTGAAAATAATCTTTAGGTATAGTTAAATGTTAACAGTGATATTTTTATCCTTAAATCTTGATATCCATATATATTGAAATAATAATTTACCCAAAGTCCTTTAGACAATCAAGTTCACTAGTGGTGCAAGTGATGTGTCTCCATTGACTTTGACAGAATTTTAGCCACTCGTGATGATAAGAAATTTGGCCTTTATTATTTAAAAGCTCAATAAAGAAATGATAAATGGTACGGGTAACTTTAATTTTATATCTGAAAAATTAGAAGGTGATAATAACGTTTTTCCCAGGGTTGACACTGATGGAGTCTCAACTTGATGAAATCACTTTCCCAGACATGCTGTTGTCAAGCCTAAGGCCTGGATTTAGAGACACAGTGAGGGTGAAAATGTGCAAGCTATATGATGGTGCCAGAGTGGAGTTTCAGTTTTGCTGAACTCTTGACCAAAAGGAGAGACAGAATGAGGAGTTACAGCACAGTTGTAATTAAAAGCTGAAGGAAGAGTAAACAGTCGTAAAATTCAAGTTTCTATTTAGTCTGGGCAAGTTTGAATCCCAAAAGACGGAAATCAAAGAAAGTGGATGCCAAAGAAGCAGAATGAAATAAAACTGAGGGCAAACAGTTTAAAACATCTTATAATAGCGCATAACTAACATGTGGAAAGCCTTTCGGAAAATACGGTGATTAGAAAGCTTAGTAAGAACAACAGCAGTAAACATTTATATTAACATGTGTCCAGTTCAAAGCCTAGGAAATAAAAATTTAACTGAAAAGCTTTAGGCTTTCAGACACAAGCCAGCTGTCACTGACAGTGCATTTCCCTTAAGGACTGATTATTGCATATTTATTACTTTATTAGTCATTATTACAAGGTCTGATTTAGCTTCTTGAAACTGAAGAGTTGGACCTTAGATGGTCAGTTTAGTCCAGTCAGGCAATTCCCGTATTGCGCTATGTTGGCACAGAAAACAATCTTCACAAAACCAGTTTCTCTCTGGACTTCAGGCCCAGGATACGTATATTCCACAGCCTTTGTTTCCTTATTTGTTCAGTTTGGACAGATACCAAAAGATTTCTGGAAATTTTTGTTGCCTGCCAGTAAAGAAATGATAGGCGTAACCCTACAAAGCATGCCTTGGGTGCTTAGCGTCTCATTAGCCTGTTGAGCTTGGAAGGGATCATTAGAACAAAACCATACTGTGTAAAGGAACAGGGAAATGACAGAGTTACATGTGCTACCACACTGACAAGGCTTGCCTGTGACATTGACATTGACCAGTGAAGAGCTTCTGGCATACCTTTGGAAATACCAGCAGTAGTAGCTACAACCCTTAAACTCCCAAGCATTTCTGCATGAATGAGTGCAAACTATTGAACTGGGAAGTGAAGTCGTTTCAGAGAAGTTGTGTGGCTACATCCTGATGCCACTTAACCCCAGCTGTTATTTTCAGTGAGGCTTTTTGTGCAGTGATGTGGCTGCGTGACTTCTGGACTAGAATTAAATCACTTCCAGCATTTTAGGAGAGCAAGCAGTGCAAACATGGTATCGTACTGCTCATGTGGATCTGCCCCGAGTGTTCACAACTGTTCATGGGTTAGACAAACAGAAAATTGTGTACAGTCCCCTTGAAAATATTCTGTTGTGTGTAACAGTCACTGTTAGTCATACAGTGTTTTCAGGAAGTCAGTGAAGCCAGATAAATCTGTAGAAACTTGAATCTAGTGTGGACTGAGGAAATTGGCCTCTTCATCAACCAGAGTGGTTATTTGTTGTTTTGAAATTTCTTTTTCTCTCTTTGCCAGAGAGCTGTCTGGTGATGTAGGACCAGGGGGAATTTTAGGCTAAAATAAGAATCCAAGATCTCTTTGAAAGTCAAATGTAATATTAATGTCATACAGCTGTGGATAATTCTTTAAAATGGTTAAAATCTTTACTTGAGGCAAAGCATATTTAATTATTGCTCCCAGAGCCCTCAAGAAGCAGTAGGCAAGGAGAATACCAATACTTGCAATTTGCCAGAAATAGCTGTACTTCCAGAGTATCAGACAAAATCTTCAAGTAGATACAATTCAATGTCTGGTTTTATAGTCTCTAAGAGAAGCCTAAGAGATGAGATGATCACATGTAAAAACAGTACAGAGAAAGCTTGCCAGATGCAGCTATTTAATTTGGCCCTTTATAGCAGAACATGAGGACATCCAAAGGTAAGAAGAAGCTGTTTTAAAATTGAATTGCAGTAGCATTTAAACACGATGTATCATCTAGAGAAAGTTTGTTATAGTTTCCAATTAGTCTTGTCCTTTAGTAATAAAAAAGAAGACACTCAAAGCTAAAAGGCAACAGTTGTTAAATCAGGAAGGTAAGGAAGTAGATGACCTAAGCAACATTTAATCAATTCACAGCAATCTCATGCCTGTAGGCTATTATTGAAGCAAATAGCTTAGTAACTCTTTAGAAATATGTCAGAGTGAGAATAGTGAAAGTACGTAAATTAATTGAGATTATGGGAAAAATCTAATTTTGTTAAAACCAAACTGTATCATACAGTTATTTGTGCTGCGAAAGTAGGTTATGTTTGCCTCTCAGACATCAGCAATAAACACTATGGGAAGCGGGATGCTGGTCCACATAAGGAAGAGAGGTGCTGATAACTTCTTCAGCGCTTTCTTGAGCATTGATTCTAACTGGGCTTGCTCCAAAGTTTGTTTATAGTTCTGAGGTTGAATCAGACCCTTTATAGGCTCTCACTGGCTTCAGTTCTGCTTCAGGAGATCTCACCAACATCTGAAGCCACATGCTTGGACCAAGAAGTCCACCTGTAAAAGCAAGTACTGCTGAGTTTGTCAGGCTTGTACATCAGGTGTGCATGCTGGCTGTAATTGATTTGTTCTTAATACCTCATTTAGAATAAATTGGTAAGTAATGTCTGGGCTATCCCTTTGCATCTCTTTCTAATCCAACCTAAGACTCCTGCACATAGCAGAAAGGTCAGTACCCAGTCATCTTAACAGAGAACATTTATAGCTCATTTTGTTTTGTTGGGTTTTGTTTTTGTTTTTTTCTAAGTGACGTTCAGGTATTGATGGTTACACTAAAATGTGCTTAGTTTTTTGCATAGGTTCAGACTGCTGTTTGGCAGACCAAATTAACATATGACCTGTTCACATCTATAACCTTTATCCATAAAAATTACCTGCTGCTTGGTCTTAATCTTCAGAGAATTTAGGGATGACGATGATTCAATAAACAAATCCTATCACACCATTGGGTAAACTGCATATCTTCTTGTGCTTGGAATAGTTATTAAGGGAGATCTCTCTGTCCTTCCACAAATTATTGATAGCAAAAGTAAAATATGTCCAGAACCATAGTTTGCAAAAGGTTACTGCCAGCCTGACTTCATGTTCAGGCCATTTGTTTTATCTGTCATCAGAATCCAATCGCATAAAATAATCACTTCATGGAAATCACAAGATCTTTATGCCTGCATCTGAAATATGAAGGGAAAAAAACAAACATTAGAGAAGAAAAACCATTGGACAGGGCTGCCCGAAAGGTTTGAATTAAGATGAATAGGCACACTGCATGTGACTGGCTACTAACAATAATTTCATTTGGTTCACCTAGAAGAAAGAAAAATGGAGAAGAACAGCCAAAGTCCTCTGTCAGTAATCAGTACCGAATTGTTACACCCACATTCCAGTATAACATGGACTACAAGAAAGTTGGCAAATGTATTATTATAAACAACAAAAATTTTGAAGACAAAACAGGTAATGTTATTCCTTTGATCATACTCATTACAGACTTTAGAATTTTTATACTTTCATAAATCAATTAGCAATTTATTTTTAGGACATGGAATTGTAATATTTATCTTTTTTGAGAAATCGTTGTTCCTACAATTTATTCCTGTTTTTTAACACTTACATTAGAGCAGCTCTTTGCAGTTTCTTTGCAGTATATATTTCAAAGAGCATGTCACCTTGGTCTACCGACTTCATACTAAACCTTTGACCCAGCATTTAAGGCTAGGTTGTTAAAATTTAAACTTTGGCATCTGCACCCCATGTTATAACTTCTCTGTCCCTGAGCTACAGCTATGAGCTACAAAAGCTTATAGCTGTAGCTGTGCTCTCTTCACACTCCTGCATTTAACTTTTCAGACCATGTGCGGTTTCAAAGCAGATACTTGTGTTATAGTCAACTTTATAGGTTTTTTCCTATATACTTGGCAAACGCACTAAATGGAAGTGTTTACTCCAAATAATTTACATCAGTTTCTTTTATGTGGGTATTGTAGGGACTCTTTTCAACACTTTTTCTTTGGGGTGCTTTATGCGTATGTTATACCACATAACCAAAAGGATCATCCACAGAGTCCTATTTTGCAAGGTGCTGAAGGCATGCCCACATTTTTTAGGATAGGATACATATTTACATTACACTTTCCATGATTTTGCATTAAAAAAAATCTCATGATTTGCTCACAGTGCTGAGAATGCTGTTAGAGGATTGTTTTAAAATCATGTCATCATGACATTGTTTAGGTTTATTAATTATAAACCTAAGAATTTACCTCTGAACACGTGAATTATTTTGAATTGTGTAATGTGCAATCAACTATATCCTTTGTTTTCTGGCAGGAATGGGTACACGCAATGGCACTGATAAAGATGCTGGAGATCTAGCTAAGAGTTTTAGAAACTTAGGTTTTGAGGTTCACACATACAATGACCGAAGATGTGATGATATGGAAAAATTACTGAAGCAAGGTAAACATTTAGAATCATAGAATAATTTAGAGTGGAAAAGACCTCTGGAATTCACTGAATCTACCCCCTGCTGAAAGCACATCAAACTAGAACAGATTTCTTAGGCCCCACTGCATGCCATTTTCTGTATAGAAGGATTTGATTTCTGAATGGATTAGGCTTAAATCCCCACCTCTTCCCCCAGCATCAGTTCAGAAATACACAGTTTTCTTGTCATATTAGGTGAAGTGCCTGTCCTGTGTATTAGGTGAAGAGCCTTGTCAGATAAAGAGTCCAGCCTGTTGACTCCAGTGAGCTAGACTTGGAGTCAAGTGAAGGATGCATTCATATATTCAAGGTACTCATCACGTTACTAAAATGTGGGTTGTGTCATCTTTATCCACTCCTTCTTATGCCTTCTAGTAGAGGCCCAATGTATATTTAGTCTCAGAAAAATGTGTTTGCTAAATATAATCTTCATTTTAAATGTTGCTTCCTTTTGGCTAACAAGTATTTGATTTGTAGCTGCTGAGGAGAATCACAGTGATGCTGCTTGTTTTGCCTGTATCCTTCTAAGCCATGGGGAAGAAGGCCTCATCTATGGTACTGATGGACCCATGGCTATCAAGAGTTTGACTGCGCTATTCAGAGGAGACAAGTGTAAAAGCCTTATAGGGAAACCCAAATTATTTTTCATTCAGGTAATAGCCCTAAGGTAAATATACACTGCAGTCAGGAAAACATGCTGTGTTGGTTGTCCGCTTCTAGAAGAGCCCTGTAGGTTAACTTCCTCAATTTTGCTGGAGGTTTTGTGAAAAAATGTGTTGAGAGAAGCTGAGTATGGTGGCTTATATTGTTTGTTTTTAAAAGATACTTTATATGCAAGATTCACAGATGTAAAGGACATATTATCGTAATTTTGTACATAGTTTCTCTTTGTGCTTGGTAATATATAAACTTCAAAGCAGAAAGATAAACTCCCTCTTGTGCAGACAGAGCTGAGGAGAGTATGTGATTATCAATAGAAATAATACTGTCCGGGTCTCTGAATAAAGGCTGTCTCTGCAAATTACTGCGTTCTGCTAAAAGAAATATTTTTTCTCTTCCTCAGTAGTCTAAAAATTTATAGTTTTAACTGACATACCATAGGTCTGAATTATCTCTTTTATCATAGTATTATGTACATACGGGAGTTACAGCAGATGTGGGTTTCCCTGGGATGTTCCATCAATTCATCCTCAACCTCAAAGTGAAAGCTGTGTCTATTTTAGACTCTTCGTACTACTAAAGTGATGTTTCTTTTAATTATAAGTTTGGAATGTGTACTTTTTTGCCTTTAAAATTATCTTGATAAAGGCAACAAGTCGTGTTGTATAAACCCATCAGACTGCTATTTTTTTTGCAAGCGTTGTCAGTCAAAGCTACTGATCAAGAGCTGAAACTCACCAACCTGGACTGTGGTTCCAGTGTGCCCTTTAGCTAAACCACATGATTAAGAGGAAATTAAGAATAAAAGAGAGAAATGGGAAAATGTTAAAAATGCAATATACTTGAAATAGATCGTCAAACACTGGAACAGGTTTCCCAGATTGTAGAATCTTCATCTGTGGAGATATTCCAAACCCAACTGTACATGGTCCTGGACATCCACTGTAGCTGTCCGTGCTTGAGAAGGGGGTTTGGACTAGATGATCTCAGGATAAGATTTTATTATTCTGGGAAATGTAGTGCTTCAGCAGCACATGTCAGGAACCAAAGAATATGACTAGTCCACTGCAAAGAAAATGTCCAGAATCACACTGCACAAGACATTATGTCATAATTGAGGGCTGAGGGTGACTCTAGACTAGCAAAGTTAATCATGGTTAGAATAAGCTAATGCTGAGTTGGCACTTTGACAGTCCACTGAGATCCACAGCCTGCAACACCATTCTCCCTTTACTGTACAGGATATATATTTTAAAACGGGCAATCTAGTGACTTCATCACTGAACAATTAGATGTCCCTCAGAATTGCATTTCTGCTTCTAATACATGCAAAGTACTACTTAAAACTATCCATTAAAAATGTTAATGAATACTTATTTTTATAATGCCTTGTTTCTCCTTATTAGACAAGTTCTCTTTGTCTTCACTGCTTTCAGGCATGCAGAGGCTCTGAATTTGATGAAGGTATACAAACTGACTCTGGACCTGCAAATGACACTCTGGAAACAGATGCCAATCCGAGATACAAAATCCCAGTAGAAGCAGATTTTCTGTTTGCATATTCCACGGTGCCAGGTAAAGAAAAGGGGGTCAGGGTGGGGATATAAGCCTAAAAACTTATCATACGTATTGATTTGATTGTAGGCTGACCCTCACTGGTGATACATTTTACACTGATGGACAGAACACTAAAGCCCAGTGTATGTTGGGCCAGTGTGTTGTATCCACCCCCTTTATGCTAGCTATAGCGGAAACGGGAGAAAGCCCAGGTTTGGCAGATGAGAAGACACAGCCATTACAGATGGCAAAGACAGTACTACATTCTGAGAATCCCGCCCTTCCGTGTCCCAATTTAGTAAGTATGTTGAATATGTAATGACAGCAGGAAGAGGAACAGTTACAGCATAAAACATATCCTTGGAGAGGAAAAACATGAAATCTTACTTCTTGCAGTTTCCCAAACGCAAAAATATAGAATGGTACTTTAGTAGTGTGAGGTTTGGAGAGTTAATGCACGTTATTCTCAACTTCACTGAAGTAGGATATGTGACACAAGTGATAGGAATTAATTAAACTTTCTGTGTGCACATTGTTACTCTTTGCCCAGAATCTTTCACACAAATTAGTATATATCTCTTTGCTGTTCCATTCTTCAGCACGAGATAATAAGAAAAAAAGAGGAAGAATAACCCCATGTACTTTCTTACCTGTTTTTCCTGTAAGGTTATTACTCCTGGCGGAATCCTGGAAGAGGCTCCTGGTTTGTGCAGTCTCTCTGCTCTGTGCTAAATGAGCATGGAAAACAACTTGAGATCATGCAGATCCTCACACGGGTCAACTACGTGGTTGCCACAAATTTTGAATCACAGTCTGATGATCCACGCTTCAGTGAGAAGAAGCAGATTCCCTGTGTGGTCTCCATGCTCACTAAGGAACTTTACTTCTGAAAGTGTATTTTAATGCCGCCAGTGATGAAAATCAGGATATGGTTTTGGGTGGAGATTTGAATATAAACTGGAGTAACACATTTTTAATAACAGAAATGTAGTAACACTAGATTTTTATATTGTATAAGATGGGGTATCTGATGGATGGACAATATGCAAGATTTTAAAGAAGAAATAAATTATGTGGGCCAACCTGACAGCTCATACTAATTACTATATCTTGATTTCTCTTAGTGTGGCTGTCATGATTTGCAGCTACGGAAGATATTCTAAGAGTCAGCTACCTGACCCATAAAGTTTTATTCCAGAAAACAGATTATAAATTTAGAACAAAAAAATTAAATTGTGGGAGCCCATCTTTTCTTTCACTGCTAGCTCATGGAACCGTAACTTCCTCAGAAATTTCCAAAGGCCGTCATATTATTGGGTATGTCCAGTGATGAAACGGTTTGTAGCTATTTAAAAGGGTGTTTCTTAGTCTACTATATTCATTTCCTTTTTAAGAACATTATTGATGAAGACTAATGGTTGCTCTGTGCTTAATCTGGAAGTCAATTTACTTAGTTATCACTCTAGCATAACATGGATAAAGAAAAAAATCAATATTTGTAGGTGATTTACATGGAAATGTACCAAATAGAAAAATCAAAATGAAAGTAATTTACAAAGGTTGGCAAACTATAATTGGGTGATGACTTATTAAAGTGCCATTGTAAAGATTTTTGCCTTGGAAATGACAATTAACTGATAGAACGGCCTGGAACAGTGGTATTGCAGTTTTTCTGCTTGCAGAAATAAAAATGTTTGTTGATTCAGAAGTTTTGAACCAACAGAAAGTTGATGCCAAGGCTTTGTTATAAAACATTAAAATTTAATGTTGAAATGATAGAATTGTATGTTCCAGTATGTATGTTTAGACATAGCTTCTATATGTGAGAGATTTTGCCAGGACTGGAAATACTTACTTGAATCAGAAACCAAAGTGCCTTTTCAGTTACTGTAAGGTCTTGATTTTGTGTTTTGGAGTTGCGTCGGTGATGTTTATATTCTTACTTTTTATATTCTCTTTAAAGCTGGTAGATAGCTCAAAGAAGTAAGTTTAATGATTTGGTTAAACTGATAAATGGTTAGTTGTTCACCCTTTTCCCAGTTAACGTTACCCTATAGTCTTTTGAAACCTCCTAAGAAAATAAGTGCATACTATTACAGCTAAATTACCAAATTATTAAGATTATTTTCTTACAAATACTGTGGCATAGTGAGGCATATTTTTTTTTTCATAAGTCAAATTTATAGCTGTTTGGATTAAATGAATGATCGTTTTATGGATGTCTTGAGCATGAAATCAATAAAGACCTTTTTTTTTAAATTTCCTATGAATATTCAATCTGGTGAAGTGAAAACCAACCAAAATACACCCCAAAACCTTTCTCAGCCAAGAATGCAGATGGTCTTCAGCATCTTTTCAAGATGAGGTTTACAGTATCAGTTGAAAAGCAGTTTTGGAAAGTAAGCTGGCATTGGGTGACTCGGGTTAGGCAGGCCACATCCTCTCTTAGAGTAAACCAAAATTATTGAAAATATTTTAAAGGAAATATCCTGATCGACCAGCGCTTAATCTTGCCCTGTGTATAAAACGTCTTTATACAGCAAACCGTACAGTGGTCTAGCAGTTCATGTGAAAATGTTCTTCCTAATACTTCTGGCAAATAGCTCTGTCTTAAACTATTTTCTGGCATTAGAGGTACTCCTCTTTTACCATGAGAAATGTGTCCAGTCAACATTTCAGTATTCGTCACTTTGCTGGAAGCTCTTTCATGTCATTATAGTTCATTAGCATTTATTTGCTTAAGGTTTAGCCTGTTTTTAAATTTCTGTTAACAATATTCCCGTCTCCAACACTGTCCTTTTATTCAGATACACTGTAGCTCTGAAGCCAGAGAGCCTTGGGAACAATAACGGAGGAAGTAGGGGCTCTGAAATGGGTCATTTAAGTTTTTAGAATAGTGCCAAGGAATGCAACAGCATAACAGGTAAGGAGCACATTTCCTCTTGTGTAGTGCTTTTTTCTTAAAGGTTCTTGGAGAACTTTATTTTTAACAAGCTATAGCAAATTTATCTTAGCTTAGAAGCACTGGGAAAATATAAAAATTACTAGAAATAGTCCCTGGTCCAGCTTACAAGGATCCAGCTGAGAAAGGATCAGAGGAGTTAATATTAGTGAGTTTCCTCTATAAGTAGAAAAAGCTATTTGCCCTGCTGGACATAATGTCTAAAAGAAAAATAAAGGTGGACAGAGCGGGTCTTTATCGGATTTTGTTGTACATTTACCGTGACGGACACTAAATGAGGACAGCTTGGGAATTTTCAACCAATAGGTGAAATGGTAGCTGAAAAAAGGCAGAGCAGTAATGTTATTTGAAGCTCTTCAGTGCTCCAATGTGGCAAGCCAACAAGGCACCCTCAGCATTTGCAAGAGGCCTACTGGTAGACCAAAGGTTTGCTGGAAAAAGATGATAGCATGGCACAAAGGAGCACAGCAGTTCTACCTGCTGACTTACAATGAAAGGAAGAAGTTGAGGCTGAATCTTAAGCAACCTTCAGGCCAGTTCTAGTATACAAAATCTATGAAGATCGGCATAAAATACCCAAAGGTGCTTCTAGAGATGAAAGCAACTTGAAAAGATAACTTAGAGACGTAGTGAAAGAAAGAGAGAAGAACATTCCCTTGCACCAGGACCAGTGTCTCTGCTGGATGGAGCATTACTTTAGATCATGTCCAAAAAATTGTAATATTATTGAAGAGCAAAATTTCCCACCACCAGGCATCACTTCTGACTGGCAATGTTTACGTGCTGAGGGCTGTGCCAGCCCAAGAACCTGAAGGAACCCATCGCGACCGAGGAAACCTGACCCTTTCACTTGAGCAAGGCCAGGTAGCTGAATAGTGTCTTAAAAGCTGTAGGGCATTTTAGCTTAGTCCTGATCAAATTTATACCTATTTTCTGTCTAAAAGCAGTTCCCTTGCCATCTGCAGGATTAGCCAAAAGGTTTAGTGTGTAAAATCATTATCGTTAATGACATGTGGGATGTTTCTGGAGAGAATCCAAAAAATTCACCTATAACCAAGACGGACACCGACCTTACAATGGAAGTGCATTGTCATTACACAGGTAGCATAAGAAATCCTGCTTCGCCATTGTATGTTTTAGTAAATGCTGTTCTTAAAATCTGAACCTGGTTACATCTTATGGTACCTTATGATCTTTTAGGGTTCTTAATGTTACTTTATCTTCCAGTCATGGGTGGATATTGTATTTTAGACACAGCTCAGGGGAAATGAAGGGACTGTTTAGAAAGCTGAACCACCAAAACAAGCTATCTCCAGGGTTTTTTTCTGCATGGGAGACATTTATGGCTGCCTCAAATGTGCATTATCTTTTGTTGCTTGTAAGTGAATATTAATCTGGATTTCCCCTTTCAGCACAGTCTTTAAATTGCTTCCCAGGGCAGAAACAGGAATTTCCTTGAGGGTCATATTTCAGGGTGTTTGTATTTATACACGGACTATAAGAAGGCAGTCCCAGTGCAGGGCAAGGACACGTGTTTTGCTACAGGAGGCAACAGGGAATCTGGAAATACTTAAGGTGTATTTCTCTAAACCTTCTACACCATAAAGACATTTTACCTGTGAGTATTAACACAGTTTCTTTTCCTTATCTTGGTATTATTTCTGAAGTTTTATAATAGCCTGCATCTTAATAATTTGGAGCATTTTATTTGCTTTTTAACTGAAGTGCCTCATTGCATTTCAAAAGGTTGAAAGCAATCAAATCTCTTAATGCCAGGCATACAAAAATCTGAGGGGGTAATAATCATGGAACTGGCATTGTCTATTCTGAATTAGACATAACCTGTTTAGAATGTTGCTTTCCATTGAAAAGTCAGTTAATGCAACAACTAAAAACTTTTTCTCAAAATGCAGAGTGAGATAGCACAGCTGTAATTTCATGGGGTTTTGTCTTCTCACCTGCAAATCTTTACTTTTACTGAAACCTAGAAGAGATTTTTCTACTGTCATAGGCTCTTGGAACATTGTTTTGCAAGAATTGCATCGGTTGCCAGTCACAGTGACTCTGTCAGGCACGTTAGAAAGAATATTATATTGCCTTTCATTGCAAGCCCAGGCATGTGCCCTTACTATTGATACTAACAATTTGACTTTGTGTGAAGCTGTTTTTCATTTTGGAAATTCCTTTTTTTTGGTAAGCAATAGATGAAAACCCTAGCAGTATGTTTTATAACAGTCTGTCACAGCATTTGCACAAAAAATCTTTCTCCCAAAAAGGCAAAATCACAAAGGTTTCCCTAAAAAAAAAACCAAAACCAAACCAAAACAAACAAAAAGTACAGGCAGAAATGCTCTGCAGAGATCTCCAGGGGACCTAAGTTTGCAGCGGGTCATTCTCATTGACAGGATGGTATTGCCTGGAACAGGAGGTGTGGAAGCCTATAGCTTCAGTTGTGTCAGAGGTAAAATGTTTTGTCTAACCCTCCCTGTATCAAGCGAGTGAGGCCAGCAAATTACCAGCCATTTCTGACCGTACCACTCCTGACCATCCCATGTTTACCTCTGGCACTGTGGAGTCCATCACTGAAGAAACAGAAGCCGTGGCTAACAGACAACTTCAGGCCCAGTTCCTAAAGTGAAAGGATTTGATTTTGCAAGGAATGAGAGCTTTGGGGTAGGGCAAAGGGAAACTTCTGAAAAGTTGCCTAAATAATGTTACAGACATGGTATTACAAATTGGAAGTGTAAGTATATGAGAGAAACTAGATCTGATTTTAAATAAACAAGAAAGCAATTATGAGATAATAAAAAACTGCCCAGTGTGCCATGCATGCCATCGACTGGGAGGACTGCAGAGCTCACATACAAATTGCAAAGAAATAGCAGTGCTTTGGAGGTCTGGCTTTGATATCCTGACACCCAAATGGTGTTCTTCTCAAAGAAAAGCACTGAGAGGCAACTCAGCTCAAAAAAAAACCCAGTGGAAGCCTGGGGTAG